TGGTGTATACATGTGAGTGAATGAAAATGAAAATGAAAATAAAATATATTAAAAATAAAAAATAACAGTATGCTGCAAAATAATCATTAAAATGGCATTGAACGTGACAATGTAGTGTATTAGTTTAGTTACATTATTCCTCATACTGTATTAAACAATATTAATCACACAAAAATTAGTTAGACAATGTACTGTATATAACAATATTAATCACGCAAAATTCTGTATGCTTTACTTAGAAAGCAAACGTACATTTGAAAGTACGTGATGTATATATAGGAATTAAGATTAGGGCCACGAATCTGAATAATCTTTTTGTTTTTGTGTGAAGTTACAGCTTGGTTTCTTTCTGAATGGTTTTTTAAGCTGATATTTCTGCTTCATGTACACACATTTCCTCGTAGGTTATGGGAGAAGATCTTGTCCCGGAAAAGCTGAAAGGAGAAGCTCAGGAAGAGGTGAAATGCTTCTCTGCTACAGCCTTCCCATCCATCCTGACTGTATCCACCGTGGAGTTTGAAAGAAAATGGTTCCAGAAACTCCAAGGCTGCTTTCATCACATGGACTGTCCCACCTAACACCATGTGGCTGCACTGAAGAGCTTCTTCGGTTTTTCGGTCCTGTTTATCCCATCTGTATTTTAACAGAGCTGGAAGGGACCTTGGAGGTCTTCTAGTCCAACCCGCAGGAGACTCTGTGCCATTTCAGACAAAGGGTTTAGCTTGCCAAGAGAACATGGGAACAGGAACGGAGCCTTTCATTGTAGCTCATGCAGTTCACACTGGAGTATTTTTACCATTGGGAAGGATGAGCCCCTGCATTTGAAGATCACCTTAACATCTGTCCCATATACCTGTTTTCGCCAGCTGTGCTGCCATCACTGTTTCTCCCCATCTTGAGGCTCAGTAATTGGATCTTGTCTGTATTTTATTTATGTCTTCGAGGTTTTGTATAGTTTTGATCTTTTTTCAGATTGCAAGCTTCCCAAAGTTACCCTGTGGTAAGATGGATGGCCAACAGGTTTGCAAATAAATAAATAAAGGTTTCAGAATTTCTGGGGGTGTGTATAGTTCTGTTCAAAAGACTTTTAATTCATCATCATTTGAAAAACTTTAGGGAACAGAGAATAAAGTCTTTTTTTAATCACTGTTACTTCTTTGGAAGTGGTACACTAATATTTTTTTAAAAGAATAAAAATATAAAACAGTTGAAGACTTGAGAGGCGAGGCAGGCTGCCCCTGAACAGATATCTTTGGTTTAATCTATATAGGTAGTCCTCAACTTACAACAGTTCGTTTAGTGACTCTTCCAAGTTACAATGACACTGAGAAAAGTGACTTATGATTGTGTTTCATGCTCACGACTGTTGGAGCATCTTAATGGTCAAATGTAATCAAATTTCAGACACTGTCATAAAATGCAGTCATGTCACCGCAGGATGCTGCAAATTTCCAAATGTCTTACATTCGGTCACATGATCACAAAGCGGGCCTGACTGTCAGAATTTTGAATTCAGGACATGAGTACTGTTTTTGGAGGTTGTTTGCAACATTGAACAGTTGCTAATTGACTGGTCACAAGTCGAGGACTACCTGTATACACACACAGACACTGGGACACAAACATACAGACACAAATCCTTATTAACAATGCAAGGGAGACTTTATTGAGAAATGAGCTTTAAGATTGGTACCTCTAGTCTAGTCTATAACAATCATTTTGATGTAAGTTGCGGTTCTCCACCTTGCCGTCCAATCTTATCCTCAAATTTGGATTGAAAAACTAAATAATACCATACTTGCAGTATTGCCTTCCAAAGCTGTAATAAGCATCAACAGAATATTTTCCCTTCCCTTTTCTAGTCTCAATATTCTAAGCTATTTATACACCCAAACTTAACAATTTCTAAACCTATTATGCAAATATCAATGGATGGAACAATTCCAGGAACTAAGATATATAACCATAATAAAAAAAGGGGGGGGGATCATTAAAAATGCCACATTTTGTCTTTTACTGATTTTACTGTAATTTATTTAATTGTTGGTTGTGAGTTACCCAGAATTGCTGGAACTGGCAGGATACAGGTTTAATAAATAATAATAATAATAACAACAACAACAATAATAATAATATAGTCAAAACCTGAATATAAGAAAGAAGTAATTGAGAAGCGAGCTGAAAATTGGAATGCATAGCCAAGACTTGAAAAGTATTGAAGGCAAAGCTGACCAAAAGCTAACTTGGAATTGGTTAAGATCAGGAGCCCTGAAAAAA